AAATACTAACAGTCTTATGTCCGCCGCAGCCGCAGCCGCCATATCTCAGCCCATGTCCGCCGCCGGAAAGCCCATGTTCAACTCCCCCGGCCTCTCTCTTGCACTAGTACCAACTAGCAACCCCACTCTACTTTCTCTCTTCGTGTGTATATATAAAATATAAATTAACCATTTTTTAATTAATTAATTAATTATTAATTATTTGGTGGGTGCAGCAAACGGGTATGGAGGGCGGCGGGCAAGGAGATCACCAACTGGGTGCAAGAAATATCGGGGAGAATGGTAATTATGAGAATATTGGTGGTGTGAATGGCGTGGGGAGGGTTAGAAGCCGGGATGAGTTGGAGGTGGAGAGCAGATCTGGTAGTGACAACATGGATGCCGGCTCCGGTGACGACCACGACGGCGGCTCCGACAAGCCTCCCAGGAAGAAGAGATACCACCGACACACTCCTCAACAAATCCAAGAACTCGAAGCGTACGACGGCTCTTTTTGCCCTTTTGCGCTCGTCTTGTTTTCTTTTCTAGCCTCCTTTCTATCAATTTGTTTTTTTTAAAGAAACAAAATTGTTTTTGTATTTCTTGTTGGATTATCTTTTCCATGGATTCTTAGTTGGTTTTATGATTTTTCACTTTATTTTTTGTAAAGAAAATGGTGTCATGGTTGATTATTGCAGTCTGTTCAAGGAGTGCCCTCATCCAGATGAGAAGCAGAGGCTGGAGCTCAGCAGAAGGCTTTGCTTGGAGACCAGGCAAGTCAAGTTTTGGTTTCAGAACAGAAGGACTCAGATGAAGGTACTCTACCAAATTTTGTTTTTTAAATTTTAGCCCATTTTCTTTTGGAGGTCAAGCAATATTAATTTCTTGATTAACATCTTTACCAGACCCAAATCGAGCGTCACGAGAACTCCATCCTCCGGCAAGAAAACGACAAGCTCCGGGCCGAAAACATGACCATAAAGGACGCCATGCGGAATCCCATCTGCACCAACTGCGGTGGGCCCGCCATGATCGGCGAGATATCCCTCGAGGAGCAGCACCTCAGGATCGAGAACGCCCGACTGAAAGACGAGCTTGACCGCGTTTGTGCCCTTGCCGGCAAGTTCCTGGGCCGGCCCATTTCTTCCCTGGGCCCGCCCATCCCCAGCTCGAGCCTTGAGCTTGGTGTCGGCAGCAATGGGTTCGGGGGCCTGAACATGCTCTCCTCGACCCTTCCTTTGGGCCCGGGACTGGGTCCATCTGACTTCTTGGGCCCTCTGCCGCCCGTGATGCCGCATCAGGGGAAAAGTGTGGTGGGTATGACGCCGATCGAACGGTCTTTGGAGAGGCCGATGTATCTGGAGCTTGCGCTGGCGGCTATGGACGAGCTAGTGAAAATGGCTCAGACTGACGAGCCCGTTTGGATCGGGGGCTTGGAAGGGGGAAGGGATGTTTTGAACCGTGAAGAGTATTTGAGGATGTTCAGCCCTTGCATTGGGATGAGGCCTAATGGGTTTGTGAGTGAGGCATCAAGAGAGACCGGCATGGTTATCATCAACAGTTTGGCGTTGGTTGAGACGTTAATGGACTCGGTAATATGTCCTTGATCAAACTAAAACATTTATTTTTCGAGTTCTTATTTGATTTCGCATTGAGTTGTTACATGAGGTTTTTGAGTTCTTGATTGTGATTGTTATAATCATACATTTTTTATCTTTAAGTTGAGGCTCCTTTTTTCACCAATTTGATGAGGTGAATTAATTGAGGTTTTGGGTTTTTGTGTGATTAGAACAAATGGGCAGAGATGTTTCCATGTATTATTGCAAGAACCACCACTACAGATGTGATCTCGGACGGTATGGGAGGAACAAGAAACGGTGCACTTCAGCTGGTAATTATAATTGTTTTTTCAATTACTTATTTATTAATTAATTAAATTAACTCTAGTATTAATTTGAATGGTGCAATAAAGAACAAAGTATAATGTCCTTAATCTTGGGCATTCTACTTAATTAGTTTATGTTCTTGTGTGTTACTAATGTGTAATTTCCTTGTCACGTGTTATTATAAACGTACTAGATGCACGCCGAGCTACAAGTTCTATCACCATTGGTTCCCGTTCGAGAGGTCAATTTTCTCCGGTTTTGCAAGCAGCATGCAGAGGGCGTTTGGGCCGTGGTCGACGTGTCGATCGACACCATCATCCGGGAAGCTTCCAACGGCGGGCCCACATATCCGAGCTACCGGAGGCTCCCCTCAGGCTGTGTGGTACAAGATATGCCCAACGGGTATTCCAAGGTACATATACTCTTAATAATTTCCATCTTCCCTCTCAACATGCATATATTAATTAA